GACATTGTGTAGGGGAAGCATTCCCAGCCAGACACAGCAACCATTCCCAAAAAACATTCAGGCAAAGTTGACATGACCTCTTCATATAATATTAGCTGCAACATTTTAGTCTTTATAATGTTATCAACCTTAGCGGCCTGACTGTTGCCCCAAACAACTGTTGGTCAGGTTTCTCATTGTGATTTCTGCCTGCTGGCTTTTAAATGTTTTCCAGGCTGAGGTGAATAAAATGGACTTGTTTGAGGTCCTTTAATGTTGGCAGGCCAGTAGGAGTCCCTTTGGCCTGTTCAACATTAGGCAGTCTTTTATTAAAACATTTGTTTTAACCTCGTTAATGTCCATTTTATTCATCCCATTTTTCTTTTAATAAGCAGCTAAAGTTTTCCATCCTGTTGCAATGAATCCTGGGACTCTTAACTCTCTGATTCCTCTTTGTTTTTTCTCTTTCAATATTTGTCTTATTCTGGGGCTGGCTCCGTGGCCGAGTGGTTAAGTTCGTGCACTCCGCTGCAGCGGCCCAGGGTTCGGATCCTGGGTGCAGACATGGCACTGCTCGTCAGGCTACATTGAGGCAGCGTCCCGCATCCCACAACTAGAAGGACCTGAAACTAAGATATACAACTATGTACAGGGGGGTTTGGGAAGATAAAGCAGAAAAAAAAGAAGATTGGCAACAGTTGTTAGCTCAGGTGCCAATCTTTAAAAAAAAAAAAAATTGTCTTATTTACCCCACTGTCTTATTTCCTGAAAACCCCTTTAAACATTCCACTTTGTTGAGAAGAGCCCCTCTATTTTTTCTCAGCTTCTTTTTATTTTTCTGTTAACTTAATGCTTTAATTAGCCTCTGCAAGACCATGAAAGGAAACTGAGACCCCAAATTTGATTAAGTTTCATCTTCTTCTTTTTCATTGGTTTATAGCTGAAAACATTCCAGTTCTGCAATACCTAACCCAGAAGGCTGCTGCTGGGAATGGAATCGGAGTTTCCCAGTATGGTGCCACACTACACACATCCATACACACACACGAGCGTCCAAACAAATGGAGCCCATAGTTAGTCCTCTCGGAGTGAGGTCTCTAATACTTTCAAAGAAATTGAGGCCCCCTTGACCAATCTCCAGCAAGCTGGAACAAAACCCATTGAAGCAGACGCCAAGAAATGAAAGGACAAATAGGACTTGGTCAGTTTTAATGAGGAAACTCACCAAAACGATGTCCATTCCAAACCAGAAGCAAAAGCAAGCAAACAAACAAACAAATCTGAAGCTTGTTTCCATGCCACGAGAAAAATTAGTCTAGTGCCAGGTGGGACGGAAAGTCCCGGGGACGGTCTGCAGGGTGCATTGCCTGGGGACCTGCTGCACTGCTTCCCAGGAAATCCCAGTTGGCTTGGGGCTGCAGACTGTGGGCAGAGAACCTCCTGGCTGGCTCACCAAATTTTTACTGAACACAAACACAGGTCAATCACCCAGTATACAGGAGGGCCAATTCCTTGAAATGTCGGGCTTGTGGCAAGGCAAGAGGTTTATTATCGAAAGGCAGCCAGACGAGGAGATGGGAGTTAAAAATCAAATCCACCTCCTCGAAGGGAAAAGGTGGGGTTTTTCCCTGGGGTTTCAGGTAGGCAAGAGGGAACAGGTTCTGGGCTCAGGGGTAGTGGAGGGGGAGCATGTGGCCCTGCTGGCTGGCATCTTCAGCCTGTATTTGATCTTAACTCTCTTTCCCCTTGACTGTCTAGACGTTTCTGATTGGTTTTCATCTTCAGCCTGTGTTTGGCCTTGTGAGGCTGCATGTTGACACCTGGACCTTGACTTCCCGGGAAAAACAGCTCCCTCATATACTAAGGAGGGGCAAAAAGACCTGGTTACTTTTAAACAACTGTTGATCAGGCTGAGTATGCACAGCTGCAGTTAGCAAAGCTTATCTCAAATAATCTTGTCTCTTCTTCTAGCCCAGCAAATATTTCTAACTATTTCATTCTAGGTTTCACAACTCCCCTAGAAATGGCAATTATATGACAAGTACTCTTTGTAAGTATGGCCTTCCACGTTTCTGCACACTGCTGTCTTTAGGATAAATGAGGTGTACTCATATGAGTGAGTCTCTAACTGTTTCAAACAGGTATATTACACTCACTTCTTTGTCTCTCTTCGCACCAACAAAACACAGTGAAAATCCTGTAGCTCTGTGAGTATCTTATATCTAGTGTAGTGGCTCCACAATTTATCCTAAGTGTTTCATGGCCTTATTGGTTTAGGATTCACGATGGGCAGACAAGGACATAATTATTTGAGAACACACAATGTCAACATCATATATGTCCTGGGAGCAATGATGACCACGTCAGTTGTAAGACGTGAGGACAAAACACACAAACCAGAAGACTGAGGCCCTCGTTCAGTCGTGAGAGTCTCCTCCGTGCTGGCTGGTGTGCCTGCAAGCAGAGTTTATGCATTTCCTTTTCCCCATGTCTCCTCTATTGATGATCTATGACGTATTTTCATCCCATAAATATAAACCAATTACATTCACTGTGTTCTGGAAACGCGCTCTCCTCTCCGGTCATAAGTGTCCCAGCTCATGTACTCAGGGAGCAGAACTGGTGGGTAAATTCCATGTTATTCCTCACGTCCCTCCTCCTTGTTCATTCCCGGTCATGTTAGACCATCTGCAGATACTTTAATTGCTGCTCCGGCCTGATTGATAACACCCTGAGTTTTTCCACGATGGAAACATACACTCTATTCTTTCCAAGAATACTGCACTCCCCTGAAATACTCGAGATAGGACAAAGGTTTAGGGGTGCTGGGAGCACAGAGAGCCTTGGCATGGGTACCCGAAGGATGACCTCCCT